TAGAGGCGCCCAAGGGGTGATGTGTGATTGTCCCAGGTTACGGGGTGGGGCTTCCAGACAGTTCTGTGTTGCATTGTTGAAAATGAATTTCTAGATATTGAGCCCAGTCCTTGTTGCTGCTGACTTCAACTGGCGGAAGGGTTACATAAGGGACACCCCTTGTAATAGAGGACCGTTGGCAACCCTAGCTGTAATGGAGTTTTCCATCGACTGCAAAGGGAGGTGAGCCTATGCTGTTGAACCTGGAGGTCTACAAGAGTCTGCAGCATCTGCTGCTGAAGAAGCTCCATTACGTCCTGGTACATCTCCCTCTCCTCTTCCTGCTGGGACTCCTGGGCCTTTCTCCAGTGTGCTCTTTCTTTCTCCAAGCTGTCTTCAGTGTTCGCCCTCCAGGCCCTTTGCTCATGGCCTGACGCAGCACTAGCTTGCAGGATCTCAGTGAACACGTCATCCTGAGTCCTCTTCTTTCTCCGCCTCTTCTTTCTCCGCCTCAGGAGTTCCATGGAGGGAGAACCCCTCAAGGCCGCAACAGTAGCAGTTGCAGATCCCACACCCAGAGGTACCGTTGTCAGGACAGTCACAATGGAAAGTGAAAGTTAAGATTGAGAACTCCCTTTCCTCAGCCCCCTGATGTTTTAAAGAAGACGTGCTTATTGTTGTTCTGCTTCTGAGTGCTTGTGCATGGTGTCACTCACAACACCAGCCGTGGTGAGTATGGCCTGTCAGGGGTGAGGAAAATGAGGGAACTGCTCCGTTGCATGAAACTATATGAATATAGGGCCCTGGCACTGAATACGGGCACCATTTCCCGCAGGTGGTCATGGTTTTTGCTGATATCTCACTCCTGAGGGTGACAAAGGCACAGAGAGCACAGCTGCTGCAGGCGTCCCAAAGCCTCCCGGGCCCGTATGCTGCTAGTCTGTGCTCTGCAATGGTGCCTGCCGAAGTGATCACTGACTGGCGTGGGAACATGTCCCACCGCAGAGGAAGAAATAAGGCTGCCATCCCTAGAAACCTTCGGGAAGGACTGCAGAGTAGCTCCACGGAAGTTTCATTGAGATCTCTCAGGAGGGTTCAAGGGACACCCCTGTGTGCATAAACTGCTCCGCATGCCCCCACCTCACTGTATAGGGGAATGAACAGCAGCTAATGCCACCTCTCTCAGTTGTTCCACTTCCTCTCCTAGTACGAGTAAAGGCCTGAAAAGTTGATAGCTGTGTCCTACTAAGTTGGGGGCACCATCAGAACATCACTGCAATGGAAAATACATTTACACACTTACACGGGGCTCCTTCTCCTGCATCGGGCTCATCTATGCTCAACTACTGGGACTGACTGGCCCGCAGTGCAGTCTTAAAGAGGGCCTGGCAAGCGACGTAGCTGGATCACCACCCGCCGGTTGCATGGCCCCCATTGTCCTCTTCCACCTCCTCCTCGTCTTTGCTGTTCACGCTGGGGTGTGTGACTTGGGCTCCTTGGAGGTATCCACGGTGGTGTGTGGGGTGGTTGTGGGGTGTCCACCAAGTCTGGCATGCAGCTCTTTGTAAAAGCAGCAGCTCTGCTGATACGCTTCCCTAGCCGTCTGGTGTGCCTGCCGCAGTTCCTTCACTCTCACGTGGCGCTGCTGCTGGTCCCTGTCAGACCCCTTCTCCCGCATCCCCCATGCAAGCTGCTCGGAGATGTCCCTGTTTCTACAGCTGCTCCAGCCTCTTCTCCCCACAGGCCCAGGAGATCCAATATCTCCTGCCTACTCCAAGCCGGAGCATGTCTGTGATGTGTTGCCAGCATGGTCACCTGGGCAGGGACACCCAGCAGTGGAGAGCGGCTAGCTGTGCACACCAAGCTGGACAATCAGGACAAGGCGTTTCAAAAATTCACAGGGCTTCAAAGCAGGTGGGAGGGAGGGGCTTCCAGTCTCTGTGACCCCAGGCAGTGGAGTTCACAGTTGTGACCAGAGCGGTCACTGTCGGGCATTGTGGGACAGCTGCTGGAGGACTGTTAGGTTCAGCATAGGTAACGCAGCGTCTACACCAGGGGTGGGCAAACTTTTTGGTCCTAGGGCCACATCGGGTACGGAAATTGTATGGAGGGCCGGGTAGGGAAGGCTGGGGGAGGCTATGCCTCCCCAAACAGCGAGGCGTGGCCTGGCCCTGGCCCCTATCCAGCCCCCCGGAACCTCCACCCCCATCCAACCCCCCCTGCTCCCCACCCCTGACTGCCCCCCAAGACTCCCACATCCTATCCAAACACCCCTCCTCTCTGCTCCCTGACCATCCCCCCGGGACCCCCGCCCCCTATCCAACCCTCCCTGCTCTCCCCGCCCCACATTACCTGTGGGTTGGGGGAAAGGGGGCTCAGTCCTTTCCCTGTGCATTTCCCCTGCTCGTTTGTCAGCTCTCCCGGCAGTTGGGCAGGGCTCGTTCCCTGGCTGGGCTTGACTGCTGGGGACAGGGACCAAGCATACTGGGGTGGAGAGGGGCCCTGGCTTGCTCTGCCCCTGTCCCCGGCAGCAGGGCCCAGGCCCCTTGACTGCACCCCTGCAATCCCCCCTGCTCCTCGCCCCCCCCAGAACTCCCCCTACTCCTTGACCGAGCAGCCCTGGAGCACCAGGTCTGTCGGCGCTATAGCTGTGCCCCCCAGCCAGATCTGCAGCCACACTGCCCAGGCGCTGGGGGAACTGTGACTGCAAGGGAGGGAGGGGAGCAGAATGGGAGCTAGCCTCCGCCCCGCTCACCGTGCTGCCCTGCGGGGAGCTGGGCTGGCTCTTCAGCAAGCCTGTCCTGACCCCGCTCCCCGGCAGGAGCTCGGCGGTCAGAGGGAAGGGTTCTGCGGGCCGGATGTGGCCCGCGGGCCATACTTTGCCCCCCCTCTGGTCTACCCTCACGCTGCATTAACCTCAGTACATCAACCATGGCTCAACGCTGCTCAGGGAGGTGGTGTCATAGCATTGCTGTAATGGGGCGTTTACATCGGTGGGAGGCAAATCTAAGTGTAGACACATACACAGCTAGCTCGACGCAAGGGGGCTTATGTCACCCTAACCTTATAGCACAGACTGGGTCTCACTATGTAAACAGAGAACACCCACGGGGGGAAAAGGAAGAGAGTGCTAACCTCACTTTGCAGATGGGGGATTTAGGCACAGAGAAGTGAAGTGATTTGCCCAGGGAGGGCTGTCACAGAGCGAGGAGTCAAATCCAGCTTTCCTGAGATGCAGTCCAGGGTGCAAGGATTGGATGGGGATGGATTGGATGGGGATGCCCATGGATTGGATGGGGCACGTCTCCCAGGGCAATAATAAACAAAGGAGCAAAACTGCCCAGTCAGAAGAGAGAGGCGATGGCTACCCAGCTGACTCTCCATAATACATCGCCATCGCCATGCTGATTTATTTGTGCATTTCACTGTGGCCCATGGGTGCTCTGGTCACGCGGATGCTGAGTCCCGCGCATTCTTGGGTATGCATGAAGCTATGCCGCTGCATTCTCAGCACTCTGTGGGGAGGAGAGGGGCACAAAGGCCTTTATTTTCTGGCTGGGAGAGGCTGCTCTGGGCTGAGACCTTTGCCACGTGTGGTGCAGATACCATGACTTGCCCATTGAGAACAGCACTCAGAGGCCTGGCCTTACCTTGGCGCACCTAGGGAACGGCACTGGGGGGAAGCCCATTTGTGCAGGACATTTCGCACTGGACCTCACATCTCGCTCCCGCAGAAACCAAGAGCTGCCACTTCCTTCTGCCGGAGGAGGTACTCGTCCAGCCCTGGCCTTCGCTAGGAAAAGATTTGTCTGAGAAAACTGAGCCCCACCCATCATCTGTCCTTCTGGGGAGAGGCCTGTGGAGAATCCACATTGCGCCAGAGGCTAATATCTTTGCTTTATGTGTTGCTGGAAGGCATTGGGCCCAGAGCGGTGGGCACCATATAAGAGTTGGCAGAGTGCCCAATAAAGGGCATTTGGTCACCAGCCTCCTGAGTCTGGACTGGACCCACTTAGAGGTGGATGGCTCCATGTCATGTGCTTAACCTCTGGAGCCAGCGCAGCCCCCTTGGCCCATTAACTAGAGCCAAGATTTTCAGAAACAAGGGCCTCTACTCCAGTGACTCAGTGCGGACATAGACTCCGAAAGAAGGGACCTGGCTTTTGAAAGTGTTAAATGCCCAGCAACTCCTGCTGAACTCAGCACTTCACTGGGTGCGCAGAACTCCTGGCAAGCAGCCCATTTATCTGGGTGCCTACATCTGGACTTGGGAGTCTAATGTCACACACCCCTGTTTGATGGCTGGGTGTATGGGCAAGGCTGGGGGGATGTGTTGATCCTGCAATCCTCCCTCTGGCAAAACTCCACACTGAAGTCAATAGGGAGCTTTGCCTGAATTGGAGCTGCAAAAGCTCGCTCCAGAGGGTTATGCTTATAAACGGTGACATGTATTAGCCTTCAAAGCTCCTCAGAGGAGTGCCCTCCCCCCACACCCGCCCGTCTGGGTGGAAGGTTTAACTTCAGGTGGGTGGGGATAAGGGTGATGGTGACAACACTGTATGGGCGCTTTCTGGCCCTTAGGAAATGCACTCCAGTAATGGTCCCAGACATGATGGCCTGAAACCGGGGTACTGCCCGGCTGGGGCTCTAACTGCAGTGGGCCCTTAAGGGGTGGTAGAGCTTTGCCAGAGGAGGGAGTGTCTGTGTATGTGTGTGTCTGTGTGTGTGTGTGTAGGGGCGTAGCCCTGCAGTGTGTGGGGGGGGGTAAGGGGAGTAGCCCTGCGGGGTGTGTGTGTGTGTGTGTGTGTGTGTGTGTGTGTAGTGGGGGTAGCCCTGCAGAGGTCCAGGCTTTTTCAATCCCTCCCTTGACCGGTGTGTGTTTGTGGACGTCTCTCTCATTCAAGCCACTTGTGCACCAGTGCCTGTGGCTACAGTCAATAAGGAGCCGCTGGTGTCCTCTTGTATCCCCTCTGGCCTGGTGACAGCCTGGCTCTGGCTGCCATCCAAGGCTCTGCACGGAGGACAGTGGATGTGCTAGAGGACTTGGCTAAGGTTCTTCCCTGGTTTCCTTTGGTAACTGTCAGACAATTGTGGCGCAGGAGCCCACTCGGTTTAGGAAGGAATAAGGACTATTTCTCCCTCTTTCCCTTTCCTTGGTCTCCCTCCCGCTCTCTCAGTTGCTCCCTCCCTCGCTCCCTCCCTCTCTGGTGTGAAGGTTGTGTGTGTGTGTTGTTTTTTTTTTTCAGAAAGCTCAGTGTCTCCGAGGAAGGGGGAGAGAGACAGAGCCGCGCTGGCTGCCTCCAGGATCCTCTCCCAGCCTTGAGCAGCCGAAATGGGAACAGCCCTCACTGTTTCCAGGGCAGCCTTTCGACTGACACTACAAAGATCCAAAATTCACTCCTAAAGGACGAGGAGCAGAGGGCGATCTGCATCTCCTGCCTCCTTGCACTTGGGCTCTTGCTAGGAATTTCAGGGGTTGCCCTGATGCAAGGCTGACACCCCCCATATTGTTGTTTTTATCTTTAGGATTTTCCTCTTCTCCTTTTTTCCTTCCCCTGCCCCCCAACCCACCCTGAGCCCTTGGCTGAGCAGGTGGCTTGTTCTAGTTGTGGGGTTTGCTCGGGGGGAGCTGTTTAGTGAGGAGGGGGTGACTCGTCTTTTCCCACGGGCAGACGGAGTGATATAGCTTGTGTCCTAGCATCTGGCTGGAAATTTTTGAACACCCTTCTTGCTGCGTCTCCAGAGGAGAGGGGCTTTTCTCCCCCGAGGAGGCGGGCGAGGAGCTAACCAGTCTCCGTCCCCATTGACGAGGAGAGCGTGATGGCAAGCGGGAGTGGCGCATGGATGGAGCGAGGTTACGTCTTCGGATTCTGTTGCCTGGTTCTGTTGGACCCAGGGCGGGTTTGGACCAGGGCTCCCAGCACCCAGGATCCTGAGCTGGAGGGGCAGGTGGAGAGCCATGGTAACACCAGCTGGGCTCCCACCTTGGAGGACACTGTGGTGGCCCCCACTGAGGCTGTGCCAGGCAGCGACCGGTGCCGTGGTTACTACGATGTCATGGGGCAATGGGACCCTCCATTCAATTGCAACTCAGGGATCTACCGGTACTGCTGTGGGACCTGTGGGTACCGCTTCTGCTGCCAGTTCAAGCACGGGCGGCTGGACCAAAGTGGATGCTCCAATTATGACACCCCCAACTGGGTCAACACAGGCCAGCCACCAGCCCGGGTGGATGAGACCCCCGAGGATCCTACCCGAGACAAGACCAACCTGATTGTATATATCATCTGTGGTGTGGTGGCCATCATGGTGCTGGTGGGCATCTTCACCAAGCTGGGCCTGGAGAAATCACGGAGCCCCCCGACGGAGATGACCATGTCCAGGTAAAAGGGACCTCACTTCTTCCCTTCCGCTCTGTCTCTGTCCCCGCTCCCTCTGTCTCGCTCCACAACAGATAGACAATACTTCCAGACTTTCCCTCTCGGCTGCATTGTCATGTTCCCTTCCAGAGGGCAAGACCCAGTCCAACCCCAGATCCCCACAGTGACCTGCCACCCCTCAAACCCTCCTTAATTTTGGCTCTGGACCCTGATAAAACAATCTATGGGGGAGCTAGGTATCTGAAACACTGAGGAGGGAGAGGAATGAGTCAAGGGGGTAGAAATCAGAGCTGTCGGGTTGAAGCTGAGCAACGGAAATTTAGGCTGGAGATCAGGAACCCTTTCCTACCAGTGAGGCCTGCTGGGCTATGGAATAGTCCCCCAAAGGGAGTGGGGGGATGGAAGCCGCATCACTTGGGTCATTTAACAATGGACTGGTCAGATCCTGAGAGGATATACCAAGGGGAACAGTCGTCAGGGAATGGACAAGGTGTGTCTACTCTAACCGGTCTTCTCCAGCCCTGATTTCTGTGATTCTGAGTGTAAGGCTCATAGTTTTGCCATCTGTTTGGGGGCATTTCAAAGTTCGATTCTATACAGGACAATTACTTACAATGAATGTCTTGGCTTTCCTGCAGCATCCTGCTTTGGGGAAGAGCTTGCTGAGCGGCTTCATTAGTTTCTGTCCTGTCAAAGTGTGTGTGTGTGTGTGTGTGTGTTTGCGTGCATATGGATGTCTGTATGTTTACCACATGACCCTCACACCTCCTTGCCAGCAGGTTGCCAGAGGACGGCAGCTGGGCTATGAGCATTGTCCGGGCTGGTTTTGATTGTGCTCTGGGCAGAAAGTTCAGTCAGGGCACCTCCTCTCTCCGGCAGGGTGGCTTTCCGTGTGGGTGCCAAGAGGGAGTAGGCAGCCAGCTGAAGGGATGGGTGGGAGTGAGGGATCAGGATGGCAGGTGGGACTGCAGCTGCAGCACCCGGACACTGCTGGGACTCTTCTCAACCTCTGTGTCTCCTCTCTTTTGTCCAGCAAGTCCGAGGGGCTGAACTTCCCAGCAGTGAGAGAGTAGCAGGGATGGGGAGGGGTACAGAATTCCCCCCCCCCCACCACCCTCTTTCTCCCCTTTCCTTCTCTCTCACTCTCCTCATCTCTGTATTGCTGTCTGTCCCTCCCTCCCTGTGTTCCGCCTTCTCTCTTTTCTTCTCTGGCGTGCGCTCTCTTAATATGTCAGTTCTTGACTTCAGATAAATGTTCTTCTTGTCGTGTTCCCAGAAGCAGACTAAGCAATTGCTCAGGGCCCCAAGCAGCTCTGGGGAGGGAGGGATTCACTTTTTATTATGTGTGTTGTGGGCTCCTCCAAATATTCCTGCTTAGGGCCCCCAATGGGCTAGCATCACCTCTGCCTGTCCCCCCCACCCGTCCCCGCTACACACACACAGACACACACACACACAGAGACACACACACACGTTCCCCCTCAGGGAACATCTCCTCCCCGCCCCCCCCCAGGACTCTGGGCAGGTTCAGTCCCAGCTCGGGGCAGAGGTATGTCACCCCCAGCCACGCCATTCTGCTCCAGCGATGGCCCCCAGAGGCCCTACATCCTTTGATGCACGTTCAGTTGTTATCAGTTTTCTGTTGGGGTGGGGTGGGGGGTGATTCAGGGGCTTGTCCATGATGAAAGGCAGCGTGTGTGTGCGTAGGCAGGTGGTGAGGAGACGGGGGAAGGCAGTGGCACCTGAGATGCCAGCTCCTTAAAATGCCCATGCCTCCCCTTCCCGTTGCTTCCTTCTGTGGCAGGACAGGAGAACATGAGACCTCGCCTGACTCATGACACTAGTGGACCTGGGGGGGCGGGGGACAGTCAGCGAGGTGCCACGGTCCTTTGGTGGGGGACATATTTAAGGCGAGACTGTGTCGCTCACTGACAGACTCACTGGGGCTGCCAGAGAGTCCAGCTCGCATGGCCTGGGGGAACTCGCTCAGCCTTGTGCCTGCAACCAGCTGCTCCACTGACCCCTGTTGAGTGGCAGGCGGGGAGAGAGCCACTAACGAGCTGCAGCCAGGGAGAGCGACTCCAGAGCCAAACTCCTTAGGAAAGTCCTGACTTCCATGCACCAGATCTCTTGGGCCGGCTGGCAGGTTGTGATGTCATAGACCAGGGCTATGCCAAGTGCCCAGCGCTGGCCATGGGGCGCCTGACACAAAGCGGGTGCGTTGTGCCATCCGGAGCGATCCCCTGACGCTGCACTCTGAACGGTCCCGCACTCAGATCATGGAATCAGTGCCGTCTCTCGGAGGAAGCCTGCAAATGCTGCCTTGACCGCTCGTGGGGATCCTCCACTGGAGTCAATGTACACCATCCCGAGGGGCAGGCATGCGGTCTTTAAAGGCCCCACTGCACTTTTTGCAAGAGTATGGGGGTTAAAACTGGCATCTCAGTCAAATCCACCCTACGTAACTGCACTGCACCTCCCAAATTCCTTCTCAGATTTCAGTGGAGGGGATTATCCTAATTTACCCAGCCTATGGCATGGCTGGATCGTTCTGCTGGGTGAGCATGGCTGTGGCATTCCACCGCAGAGATGGTTGCATTTCCTGGCAGTGTGAGTGATCCCCCAACATTCATTCTGTACATCACTTTGCTATGAAAAGGAAATCAGGAATGTAGCCTCTTGCTATTCATAAGTCTCGGCTCTGGGTTTGGTCACCAGTGTGGTGAGTTTGGTTGGGTTTTCATCCTAGGTCCTAGTAGACAACGCCCTATGTGGTGACATTGTCTCCTAGAGGCTGGCACACAGCTGATGGGGACTGTCGCTTCAAGGGCAGCAGAGGATCCCCCAACTGGAACATCATGGGGTGGTGCAAGACAGAGCTGAGGCACACTGGCAAAGGGCCTGGAATAGCAGAGGTGCTGGGGGTCAGGATGGCGGGGCATTGGCAGTGCAGGGGGAGGGGAGGCTAGGACTGGAGTAGCCGGAGTGCCAGGGGTCAGGATGGAGGGGCATTGGCAGTGCGGGGGGAGGGGCGGCTAGGACTGGAGTAGCCGGAGTGCCAGGGGTCAGGATGGAGGGGCATTGGCAGTGCGGGGGGAGGGGAGGCTAGGACTGGAGTAGCCAGAGTGCCAGGGGTCAGGATGGAGGGGCATTGGCAGTGCGGGGGGAGGGGCGGCTAGGACTGGAGTAGCCGGAGTGCCAGGGGTCAGGATGGAGGGGCATTGGCAGTGCTGTGGGTGGGGGAGGAAAGGCAGCAGCAGCAGCACAATTGACACCGGTTTGTCGGTTTTACTTTTTTGCAGCTTCTCTCTTCAGCTTGATTTTTTTTTTTATAGCAAGTTTTATGCTCTTCACAGCGAGGTGCTAATAAGAGCAGCTGGCGCCAGGCAGGGTGCAAGGTTCCCGGCAGAGCTCTGCTGCTGCATCTCAGTCCTGACCCAGAGCTGCCCCTCCTCAGCCAGTCATGGAGGCTCCACATGTGGCCCAGCCAGTGCCCGTGGCTCCTGATTGCCAGCACCTCCTGTTAGCCCGGCCTTCCCCTACCCGGACCCGCACCAGCCACAGCTCTGCCTGGGCATCTCCCTCCCGATCAGCAGCACCACTGCTGGTGGAACGCGAGGTCGCTTGTTCACCGAGATCAGCTGTTGTGCAGAAGTAAGGAAGTTGTGTGCTATGAAACGAAGGGGGAGCGGATGATAGGGGCCCGAGGGATGGGGAAAGGCATAGACAGAAGGGAGCGGGAGAGGAAAGGGGGCAAAGAGGGCGGAACATGGACATGGATCCATCAAGCAACTGGGTGAGTTTCTAATCATGTTCTACTTTGCAGATTGTCGGCCAGGGGGTTAGCTCTGGTGACGAATCCATTGTATGGGGCCGGGTTAGGGGATCTAGTAAAAAGGCAGCGCCCGAGGAGATGACTGACCAGGACAGACAATGATCAGGAGAGCATCTCAAAATATCTCCATCCCCTGAAATGTCGGGGGCCTTAACACCCGTCCCCCTTGCTTTGTTATACAATTTTGTAGCCGCTAAATGCCCTGCGTTCGGTCTCCAAACCAGTAGCAGCCTCTGCTCCCCCATCACTGGCAGCCACTGAGTCAGCACAGACAGAAGCCCCACCTCCTGCCAGTCACTGACATGAAAGCTCCACCCCCCCAAGGGCTGACTCAGCCGAGCAGCTGGGCGTGATGGGTGTAGAGGAGAAGGCTGGGGTGGGTGGCAGGGTGATTACAGAATCCCTTGAAAGGCAGCTGCCGCTCAGGGCTGGGAGGAGGAATAAGAGTGCTGAGGAGGCGATGACAGGGACAGATGAAGGCAAGATTCAGCCCCATGCTCAGAGGGGACACACTCATCCTCGAGAGCAACAAACAGCGGTGCCATGCACCAGTGATCGCTAGTAGCCAGCTGCCTGCTGAGCTGGGGTCTGCCTGACTTTGGCCAAGTGTCCATCTGGGAGCATGCAGGATTAGGAGGCCCAACATTTTGGTGAATCCAGGTTCAATTAAGCCTCAGTCCATCTCTGAGATGAAGCCTCGTCCTCTCTGTCTCTTTTTGTCTGCCCTCATCCCAGCCACCTCCTCCCTGTTCCTCGTTTGCCTGACAAAATGTTGGCAGGTCTATCGAATCAATACAAACTCCCCCCGCCTCCCTCCGCTCCAACTACTCTGCCCTTTGCCCACTGCTACTAGCCTGCTCCTGGGAAGGAGCTCTCTGCATTCTTGGGGTGTGCACGTGTCTGAGAGTGCGTGTGCGTGTTTGCGTGTGCTCATTTTCCTGGCTGGGATAACTGGAGGAAGGACACTCCATCCCCAGGGATGCTGCGATGACTTCTGTCATAACACATCTCTCTCTGCTCCGCTGGGGCATGCCGAGAAGGTCTGTTGCCTTTTCTGCGATGGGAGGGTTTGGGGGGGCTGGGGTGGGGTATGAAGAATGTGTGCCTGAGCAAGGGGGGTATTCTAACCCTGCCCTCTCCAAGGGTAACCAAAGTGAGAAGAGGGGAG